TCACAAAGAGATCAGACAAAACCTTCAACTCCCTTCTTAAATCAAAGGTTTCTCTAAATAAAACCTGAACCCAAGAAATCCATTTTATTGCCAAAGAGAGTTTGAAAATTCATTCTGGTTCATACACCGTGCCCTCATAGCTGGAGCTTTACAAGGTATTTATTTACTGGAGTTATTTAAGGAATCTTTCCCAGCTAAGAGAAACATAAACATTGATTTTTCTGCCTGAAGTCCTACAACTGAGTCACCGTACAGTCCTCTCCCCCGTGGCAGGCCCATGCCCGCAGCCGTCTGAAAGGGAGATCATTCTTCAAGCCGGGAAAGGGAAGGAGCTGTGTGCCCGGCTCCAGCAGAGACAGGGAAGCAAACGAGGCCACGAAGGGCACCGCGATCCTGTCACATCCATTCGTCTTGCTGGATGAGGTTCACCGAACCACAGGCATCAGCACAAGTCAAGCACAGGCTGTCGGCAGCCTGCGCCATCCACATCCGTCCTCCTGCGGCTTCCCGCACTGTTATCCACCGCACGCCGTGCTGGAGAGCACTGGCTCCAAAAAATCCACCCCTAAAGGCAGATGCTGTGCTGCTTTCCGCAGAGCGGGACCCTCCGGCCACCAATCTCCTGCACACAGCACGCTCGCACCCACAGTCCTAGCCAGCAGGCAGGGGCTTCTGGCCATGCAATCACAGGACCACGGAAAGAAATCCCTTCCCATACCACCAGAGGGAAGGGAAAACCCAGGATAACCTAAAAGACGAGGGGACAGCGGGACACGCCGTGTCGCCGGACCCGCCTGACGTGCTGTCAGCGGCGAGCTGTGGGCTCGGGGGGGGGGCAGCACCCGTTCACTTGGCCGGGCAGGAGATCCAAGCTCCAGGCAGCAAGACGGGAGGCAGAAGCCAGGACGCTGCAGTGCTCTGCTCTGGCACTGCACGTGCGTTCCCCCAAGCTCTGACACCGGCCTTGGGGAGCTGCGATCGCTCCCCAGCCACGCTGTCCCCTGCCTGGTCCCCTCCTTGCCCCCACGCCACAGGAGTCACTGTCCATTCCAGGGACACCATCCTGCCCACTGCTGGGATTTCCACCTACTTGACTTTCTCCGCTGAGAGCTCTCAGGAAAACCAAAAAACCTCCCTGAAAGGCCATCAGCTCTTCCCTCAAAGGTCTGTAGGTCCCCTCTCAGTGGCCGGGCCACCAGCGTGGGAAGCTCGCTCCTGCCCACGTCTCCCCTGGATGGCCGTTGCATCGTGTCACGGTGCCTGGCAGCCACACCGCTGTCTCTGCAAGCTAGTGGGGGGACACAGAAGTGGGAGAGGACAGGGGACAAGCCCCTTCAGCCATCCCCCACAAGCCATCGGTTCCCCAGCCTTGACAACTGGCAGTCCACCAGACTGCAGCCTGCTCCTACCAGACTCCTGCCTAGGACTGACGGACAACTCAAGTCCCTGCCTGGAGCACCAGACTTAATTTAGGGGTCTAAAGACCACAGAGGGCACAAGGCTGGAACCCGTCCTTATACCGTACACCCCATCCCAGCACATGGTGTGTTGAGCAGCAGCCTCTGCCCCACACCAACACCCACCTCTCAGAAATGAACTGGCTGACGGAGAAACACAACGGCATCCTGCCCAAGCTCCGTGCTTCTCCCTACAAAGCCTGGCTGGCTCCTTTCCCGGCAGGCAACGAGCCTGCGTGAGGAAATACAGTTGTCTCCACCATCTATTCACCAGGCCCATCTGCTGCTTGATAACACACATGCTCTCCAGCCCCAGAAAATGCAACTGAGATAAACATTGCCTGCCACCT